CAGAGTGAGTGGCGCACCGAAACGTCGTTTTCTAGTTGCTTAATCACTGCTTTTGTCAATGTTGAAACGTTGTTTTACTGGTTGCTTAGTCACTGTTTTTGTCGATGTTGAGACATCGTTTAATTGGTTTTTGGTATTGTTTCTGAACACCCCAAGCAAGAATGAATTTTGTGTGTAGTTGAGTTAGAGACTAAGAGGCCTTTAACCATGCCAACATGCAGTTCATTTGCTAAAATGTAATCTTTGCGGAGTCAATATAGATTAATGCTACATTAAGTACCATAATCTACATTGGTCTCACAACGCTTAAGCCGAACCTACTCGAACAATTCTATTAGGGGGGATAGCTAATTCTTTTTGATGAGTCTCGCCATAGACTTCCAAAAACATTTATGGAGAAACAAAACACCCAATCTCAAGTCGTTCGTCTAAAAGACAACAGACAATTGAACCGAACTATATTTTACCATGTAAATCTAACTTAAACCAAGTTAGGAATGGAAAAATAGTTTGGAACACCACTTCTATAGGTATAAACCCCTATAGCTACCCTTTTCAGCATGTTCCACCCCTTAACTGGTAGCTGTAGCTGTTCCCAATCATAATAGCTTACACACCAGGTGCATATAGTTTAAGGCCTTATGTAAAATCCCCTTCATAAGCCCACCTTAAACCACATAATTGCATGACACATTTGAACCAGAACGGCACAGACTGGACATCCACCCAGCGACGACCTTCGCTGGAGGAGACCTGCAATCCTGACGTTGGTTTCCACTCTTCATCCAGTGGCCGCATCTTCAGTTCAATCCAAGGGAACCCCTCTGTATGCTGATCAATCAACACCTCCATTCGTTGTGGATTTACCGTTGTGGATTATATGACTTTTTCCAGTGGATTACAGACTCTGTTTCCAAGGGGTTAAAGCATTGCTACAATGGAATTACCAACAACATTGTGGGATTACCTTTGACTTTTGTTTTCCTTGCTGGATTACATCAAGACCAGGGACATTCGAAGGCGTAAGTTCATGGTGGAATTCATCCCCATGGACAGGTGATGATTTCCAAAGGGGGGGACTGTAGTGAACTAAGCCTCAGGTCAAATCTGGCCTTCCTGGGACAAGAACTGTATTTCATTGATTTGAGTCCAGAAACACAAGATTAAGTTCATCCAGAGACTTTCTAAGTGTCCTGCACTGATCAATTGAAAGAACACTCTCTTTTTTATTATCATTACTATT